GCTTCATAAAATAGACATCGTGCCTTTTCAACCATTGATTTATTATTTCTTTGAGATAACCAATTTTGCTTAGGTGTGTAACTGTTTGTTTTCTGATGGAGTTCATATACCACATTGTTTCAAGTATTTTATTTTTTTATTTTTTCTACAGAATAAAATTCACCATCGTGATTTTCGACAAAGTCTTTATATTGTTTAAAGTACATAAATGTTTCACTCTTAGATCGGAGAAAGTATACAGTGCACATTTTACTGAAATCGTCTACAAATAATAAGTAGTATTTCGTCATCCCAAGAGACTTGTTCTGGCATCGGCCCACATAGATCTTATTAGAAGTAAGGATTTGGCTTCAACATGTCAGAATATAGTAAATGAATACAAAAAAGCTAAAAAGCAATTCAATTTTGCTAGATGAACTAAAAAGGCTATGAAATTTACCTAAAACTTTGATAAAATCAAGATATCTTCATTCCACTTTTACCACCAAATTAATATGGATGCAAACATCACAATGCAGTAAACAGTCAAAAGGATAGAGATTTACTATGTAGCAAAAAATATTGCACTTCCTATAATGAATCAAAGCTCAAAAAGTTACAGATTTCTATGAAAAATATTTATTCTTCCATCCATAATTCAACAATTCGACAATTCACAAAGTTATGAACAAATTAAAAATGAATTATCGAATAAATTCTCATATATTTATCTCATAAAAATAAAACTGGAGGTATGTATGATTTACACTTTCTTCTATTTTCAAGTTAATATTGTTAACATTGTTGATAATATTGTTAATTTTAAAGTTAATATTGGTTACCTAATATATTTTTTTTAATTTTTAGGTGGAAATTTGCCGAGTCAAAAATATTTCTCAATAATATTTGACGAAGTCTCATAAGAGCCATGTCTTGTATTCAACAAATACAATGACAATATTTGTGGACTTGTCAAGTTACAAAGCAAAATTAATGAAATTGCTGACCATACTCTAGTTTTCCTCGTTAGAAGGACTGTACACAAATGGCAACAGCCTCTATAAAGTTTCATTTTTATCAGAGCTACACCAGGACAAGGACTAAAAAATATTAGGTTGGGGAAAAACTCTTTTCGCAAATAGTATGTATGAAACTTATAACATAATCTCTTTGGCTGACCATTTATCTGGTTTTGGTATTATTAAAAAGTTTACTTAGGCTCAACAATTAATAACACCGGCCAATGCGAGCCAGAAATACGTACACGAATAGGGATGGCAAAAACGGCAATGACTCAATTGAGCAAGGTATGGAGAGACAGAAATATCAGCAATCGGACTAAAATACACCTGGTTCGCACACTTGTCTTTCCCGTCGCTCTATACGGCGCAGAGACATGGACTTGAAAGGCCGCAGACATTCAAAGAATAAACGCCCTTGAAATGTGGTGTTACTTTATGAACGTCTAGTCAGCATACGACAAGAGGAAGGAGACTCAAATTATGAGGAAGACTCATTTCATATCAAGTCTTTTCCGGCAATTACTTACTACCAGGACCTATTGAGGCATACCTGAAGGCAATTGGGTACCTTGTTGATAACGCGACCTTACGCTATAAGCTGAGAATGCCGGCATGGCCTAACCCGACAGGAGACTTTGGAAAAGTCGGACTGGTTACACATTGGTCTTCCATATCGATGCCTAGTCCACGGGTATGTGCACAACGTATCCAGGAAGACCTGAAAGTCACCGCCACGCCAGGAACCAGAGAATGGAATCTGCCAGTAGACCAGCCGAAGATGGAGCTGGGACCCCCAACACATAATTGTTTGGGATGGGCGAGAGCAGCTACCCTGACTAACGATCAGGTAGCGTTCCTTGAGAGTACAAATATTATGGAAGATGTATTTCGTACAAAGTGTGCGCAGTTTCAATACTGCACGGATTTATTTGAAAATATCTCGCTAGCTTGGTCGAAGACAGAAGAGAAGATTAAGATCGCTCCCCAATTTTAGAAGGGAACAGAAGGTGCACTAGCACAAGTCTGTTGGACTAGGTTGTACTACTTAACTAAGGTTTTCTATACCGAAAGTCGAAACAACCAGGTGATTGTATCATCTGAGATGGACGCGATGCAAGTCCTTGCAGCCCTGGTGTTATCGTATCGTGTACGGAAGAACGAGATAGCTAAGACACGTCCCTACTGCGTTTATTTGTTTGGAAACTAGGCCAACATCCCCATATTAATAAACTGGCGAGTAGACTTAGCTGAGTAGTCTTCGCAGTCAAAACAAATAGACAGTTGACTGATGTGGATAAGGCTCGTCTGGTATATTTTAGCTATTTCCATAGTATAATGTATGTATGGCATTCTACTTTGAGGAAATGCAGCCGACATAAATGCTATCTTTATCCTGCAAAAGAGAGCTATTCGAGGAGTTTATAACCTGGGCCCCAAAGATTCACTAAGAAACTTGTTTAAAGAAATAAAAATATTGACTGTAGCTTCTCAGTACATACTTGCAAATGTTATGTAGTAATGTGCATAATGTAAATACTAGGAACAAGCATAAATTAGTTCTACCCTCAACTAGATTGCGTAGAATAAGTAAATCTTTTATGGGACAATGTATACGCTTTTACAACAAAATCCCAGAAAACGTTCAAAATGAATTCGTTGCTAAATTCAAAAAACTTGTAAAGGAACTTTTGTGTGTTAATGGCTATTATAGTATTAGTGATTATTTGAATGATAACACACTCTGGAAATGAATTGATCGCTCCAGGCGCTTTCAAGTGGTATTTAATAAATCGTACACATATTTGTAAAATTAATTTTACAAATATGTGTACATATGTGTATTATAAATTAGAGATTTTATACAACTGTAAAAGTACTTATGAATATGCTCTTAAATATTGTACACCTTTACGTGGCTTGGAAATCAATTATTAGTCCACTAGGTATTTGTCATAAAAAACTATCTGTTGATGGAGTATCAGATAAATATTTGAGTTATGATATACTATTAGGACAGACTGCCAGAAAAAAAAGGCTCGTGTAGAAATAATAAAAACGCCACAAGAATTATTAATAAAAGGTAATAAAATGAATAAATAAAACAGAACATTAAGCTTGAAGTGTTTGAATTTGTTCAATTATATGGCTGTTCAATTATATGGTAGTGGTTCAATAAAATGATATGTTAACAGTAGTTATTCAGGCGTAATCATTATTGAAAATGCTTATTGCAAAGAATACCAAGATTTAGTAGAAGAATGTATTATTATTAAAAATGGTATAGTGTGTGTCACGATAGTAAATTCAGTAAATTAACCCGTCCTTTTAAATAAAAATTGTATGATTTCTCGTGGACTTAAGTACAGAAATATATTTTTTTTAATTAATTAATAATATATCCTAAAACATGATAATAATTATAAAACCATAACATTAGATTGTTAGAGATAAATTATAATTATGTAAAATTTTCAATATAAATTTAAATAATCTATAAGATATGCTTGATTTATTATGTTAAAAGTTAAATCATAACATTATGCCAAAGAAATAATTTTTAAATTAATTTATTGTAATAGGAGAAAAGAACAATTAATTACATATGACAACCCTCGTATTGTGAAGTTAGCTACAGACACCGACGTGACTTTTTTTAAAGTAACTAAAAATTATTTAAGGTCAAAACACGTCAGTCGACGGGCACTCGCGAGTAGTCAGTCACACAATCATCTTTAGTTAGATTACATTAAATGTACTATTGTTATTTTCAAAATGTATTTATTAAAAGTTCTATTTAATATATAAATTGTTAATTCCTTAAAAGTGAGTTTCTGTTTATAAAACCCATTCTAACATCTCAGAAGCCAGGATTTAAGTAAAACTAAGATTTACTTACCACGTCCACAAAGTAACGTAAGTACAATATATGCAATTATTTTAATTTAATACCGCATTCTTTTGTGACTATAAAGAAATATTTCTTAGTTGAGATTTAGTATAGTATTTTTTTAGTTTAGTTAAAAGCAATTAATTGTTGTAAAGCTACCCACTTTACAACAATTAATTGCCTAATGTTTTTAAGCAAGCTGCACAATGTTTTTAAGCAAGCTTTAAGTAAAACTGTGTAACAATTAAGTAGGTTAGAATGTATTTTATGCATAATGATTATATTACAACACCCATACACGGACATGGTTTACATGCATATAACTTTACCAGGGCTACCAGGCAATGCTAAGAAAACAATGTAGAAGAATACGTTAAGATTTTCGTCGGTGTGGCAATCAGCCGTTTAGCTCAGTGGCTAGAGCGTCAGGCCGCGAATGCCGAAGACGTGGGTTCGATTCCCACAACGGCGACAATCTTTTCGCACTTTTTCTACATATTTTAACAAATAAATTCTTAAAAAATAGATGTACATACAAACAAATTTATGAAATGAAAAATGAACAGTCAAAATTATTTAAGAAAGTAAAAATGTATAAAAATAAACTAGAAAAAAGTTGGTCTAAGTATGACCCAGAAACACTTCAGCTTCAAACTGAAAATAATTACTTAAATAGTACATTACAAACATTAACTGCTAAATCATCTCAAAAACAAATACCAGAACCTATTCTAGCAGCTGATAATTTATTAGATCAGTAAATTTGCTCATTTTTAGTCCACATCTATTTTTGTATTTTTTATTTTTTTATTTAAAAAAAAAGCAGCTGGAGCGCATACTTCTTCTTGACGCGCCAGAACGCAAACGTCCACGGTATGTCACAATGTTATGATCTCCTCGTTTTTTGTGAAATAATACACCATTTTGAGATCAATTTAAAATTTAACATTTGTTACAGAAATAATTCGCCTGAGCGGACGTCGTTCAGGCTAATGTTAGAGACACCTATCTCGCCCCCGCCGCCTAAACCGCAACGGTGGCAGATCGCTTAACCCTGAGCTGAAAGGTGAAATTGAAACTTACTTGAACTTATGCATATTTTTTTTAGTTTTTATGATACACATTGACGTCCTTTTTAACTTACTTTAGAATCTTGCCAGGGTGCGGACCCGCATCAGCATCAGCACCGCCTTTGTCGGTCTGCTCCTCTCCAAGATTATCCAGACCATCGATTATAAGTCTAAAATCGCAAATCTGATTTTAAATTTATTACGTTATTTTGTTACTCCGGATAAAATGAAACTAAATTCTTCTCTTTGTTATTAGATATGGGTTATCAAAATGCCGAAGACACACTTAGGACGTGGATAGACCAGCAGATGGTTGAAGAACTAAGCGACGAGGAAGGATTGGAAGAATTTTCATTATATACATTTTAATTACGTTACTACACAACCAGCTCACATCCCGGACGGATTTAACTTTGATGCAATAGCTTGGCTGGCTGCTGAAGATGCCGAGGCAGACACAGTACTGCACAACTTAGTACCGGCCGACTACCGTGACTTTGACTGGACAAATGATCCTAACTCATTTCATGGACGGCGAGAGGAATTCATTGGCAACCCAGGCCCTTTCAACATTTTCTGTCGATAACCTAACACCATTAGATATATTTTTAAAATTGACAACCCCCCAGCTGGTAACCATACAGGATACAGGCCTGCAACTCCATCGTCCGCACTCGGCAATCTTTAATTCTGTTTTTTGTGTTCATAAAGTTGTTGCGGTGCCATCTATCATTACAATTAATAACATGCGTTACGTTACCAGAACCGGTAGCCAACCAGCGACGAGCGCAAAAAATGAGAATCATTCGTCACACACATTTCGCCTTGTTGCAAAACTTGTTTTAGTAGCGAAACGTCTAGAATCCAACAAAGCAATGCGAAAATCTGATAGTTCATTCCTTTTTATTGCTTTCTATGATGTTTTTATATTAAATATTCCATTAAGTAATAATGTAGAGCCTTCAGTAAATACTTGTAAAAATAAAAAAAATCTAGTACCCAACAACTTCGTATCAAGGATCAGCATATATGGTCAGGTCAGGCTAGTCGTTCCCTTATTTTCACTGGCTCGAATTTAAAACTAATTATCTATGATTCACAAGCGAAGTGATTTAAACGCTATCCAAAAAATCTATTATTGCGGCTTTGCACTTGCCTTACCTGGAAGAGAGGGGAGTTGCTCCCCGAGAAGGGGCTGCTAAGGCAGTCGCGATAGTAGGGTAGTGGCATTTGACATCACAAGGAATTAAGAAAGTATCTCCCACCGCATGTGCACCATTCACTTGTTTGTACCTATGTTTATTTGCAACAGATAAAGATTCCAGGATGGACTACATTTTATTTTAATAGCACATGCTTTAATGAGAAGAAGTTGTTCAGAACAGCTGCACCTGATGTTCAATCCCATAAGGTTAGTACAATGAACACTTAAAAAGTATATTGAAAACACCTGACTCATATTACAGAGAAAGACAGACATTATTATGTTGTGTATAAGGGGTACTATACATTTATTTAAAAATTATACACTTTGTTACTTTTGTTAATGTATGAGGAATATCATCTGTTCATATATCCAAATCTGTTTAGGCATTTGAAAGTTATGATGGAATAAAGAAACTCACGAACATATATGACCCTGAAAACATAACATTTTTTTGGCTGTCGTGTAAACAAATCTCAATTTGGCATTTAAAACATTAGTCAGAATAAAAATAATTAATTCTTTTTGGGGTTGGTGCCAAAATGTACTGACAGTACTACTTAACTTTATATAGACTATTTTAGACTTTATATATCTTATCCTATAAACGAGCAATTCTTGTATACATATACAATCGGAATCTCGGAAACGGCTCCAGCGATTTTCATGAAATTTAGTATGTGCGTAGATTCGGGGGCGAAAAATCGATCTAGCTAGGTTTCAATTTTAGAAAATGTCCTTTTATCCCTGTTTTCAAGAAATGAAAAATATCATTCGAATATGACGGTAAATTTCGCCGCAAAAAAAAATGTTATAATAGCTCGGTCGGTAATCGGGCGGCCCCAAAACAGACGGTCGCGGTTCGTATCACGATCATTTACACACTTATTTTTTCGATTCCAGATCATTGCTTTCTTCTTATTTTATTTTTTGTTGATTTGATATTTTGTTATTTTTTTCCATCTTTTTTTAAGTTCTTTCTTTTGTGAAAAACACCAGTTCATATTTTCTTATTATTACGTAGGTAAGATCGAAAAATATTATGCATATTTCATTACTTAGTAAATAGGTCTGTTTTTTTTTTCCTCCAGGTATTTTTAGACTTTATATAGACTATTATATAGACAAGGGGTGAGCAAGCGTTTTAATCAATGGGCCAATTTAAATTTAATTTTTTTTTGGCGGGCCGCACATAATAATTTACGAAATTTTATTTATAATAAATATTAGAATAATAAAATATAAAATTAAAAAAGTAAAGACTTCATATACAAATTTTAATGCAAGGTAAAAACAAACAAGAAAAGAACAGAGAAACGAACAAAAAATATTTCGGTTCAGTATGTACTACCATTTTATTATAATTCATTTCATAACAATATGTTGATGGGAGAAATTCGATAAAATAAATTCAATTTTAGAAATGCTTGGCGGGCCGCATCAAAATGTTTAACGGGCCGCAAGCGGCCCGCGGGCCGCGCGTTGCTCATCCTTGATATAGTCTATTATATAGACTTTATATACGTAGTTTCGGATATTATTGCCTACTCGGCCAATATGGCTTGGCTCAATTTCTCCGAAACCAAACAACACAAGCGATATAGGTACCCGCCATAACGTTGCGCCCCTCCCCTTGACTCCCTCAGTCGGTCCGTGAGTTGCGGCGAGTGAACATGCGTCCTGTGCGTGCGACGATCGAAAATTAGCATAATTGATTTAATTTTTGGTAAGTTTCACTCATTCTTTAAATAATAATTGTTTTTATATTATATAATAGTGTGACGATATTTTGAAAGCACATTGTTTACTAGGTTAGAATTGTATTCGTCAAAAACGTGTCTACGGCCATTATGGCACAATAAGTAGCTGGCCAATATGGCCTCCTGTGCCGTATTGGCCACACCTAACGTGAATCTCGCTCCAAGAAAACCAATTTCACAATGAAAACGTCAAAGTTGGTGCAAAGAGTCAATGAAAAAGGCAATCGAAGATGTACGAAATAAAAAAGGGGTTACACTAAAGGCTTCTAAACTGTATAAAGTACCCGGAACAACTTTACGTTTGTCAGCTACAGTAAATGTACCAGCTAATGTAGCGACTCATGCGAGATTGGGAAGAAAAAGTACATTACCCGAAGAACTAGAGAAACAATTAGTACAGTATGGGTTAGCAATGGAAAATAAGTTGTTCGGTTTAACACGAAAAGATGTCATGAGTTTCGCCTATCAGCTGGCAGTAAAAATAACTTTTCATCGAAAAATACAAGTGCGGGTAAAGATTGGGTAAAATCTTTTTTAGAGAGTTATCCGGAGCTATCGTTTCGACGCCCAACAGGAACATCATTTGCCAGGGCTAGGGGGTTTAATAAAGAAAGTGTGGACCATTTCTTCAGTATATACGAGAAATTGTTGGATGACTACAAGTTTCCCCCAGACAAAATTTTCAATGTGGACGAGACGGGCATAAGTGTGGTTCCATCCCAGATGCCCCAGGTTCTGAATCAAAAGGGGAAAAGGCAAATTGGTGCTTTAACTTCTGCTGAAAGAAGAATGAAAAAGAAAGCATTTATAAGATGTTGATTACTATAAGTTCAAAGGACAGCTTTAACCAATAAAAACTGTGTAATCTCAATAAAAAAATTTATTACCAAAAAAGCTTATGGTGTGCCATATTACCCGAAGTTACCCTATTAACAACAGTGTGCTTACGTTTTTCTTATTTTCTTCTAGGAATATTTGAACCAGTTACCAGTTCATCTAGAATTTACCCTTTAAGAGAACATAATGCAAATATCATCAGCAACTATCATCATTCCAACAAGTTCAGGAATGTTTGTGTGTTTCCTCAAATCAAGAAGGATCACAAACGCAAACTATTGCTAAAGAAACTGAAAATGAGTATGAACAAGTTATATCTATCACAAAAAAACAATAAAGATTTAAAAAATGAAGCATTGTTAATGTAATATTAAAACGGCTAAACTCACGTAAACCCGGTGTATGTGACTAGTTTCGGACTCATCGGAGGTCCTTCATCGGAGGTCGTTCCAAGCTAAACAAGATCTTATCCACCCTGTCAGATGGAGAGAAAAAACGGTTGCGTCCCTTGAACCCAACTTCTCCTAAAATATATGGACTGCCAAAAATACACAAACACAACTGGCCTTTACGTCCTATTGTGAGCCAAATCGATTCGCCTACTTACAAAAGTTCACGTCACATGGCAAGTATCTTGCAGACAGTGACTGGAAAAACGACGAGCTTTGTAAGAGACTCCACACACTTCATCCGTCTGTTGGAGGACGTCAAAGTCCAAAACGATGAGGTAATGGTCAGTTTTGACGTGGCTTCTCTATTCACCAGTACCAATAGCAGAAACTATTGATATAATAAAACAACAACTAGTCGTAAACAACTTACCTATTGACTACCTGGGATTGATAGAGTTTTGCCTTACGAGTGGCTATTTCCTCTGGCGAGGGGATTTTTATCTTCAAATAGATGGAGTGGCTATGGGCTCACCAATAGCACCGGTGGTTGCCAATATATTTATGAAACATTTCGAGGAGGAAGCGTTGAAGAGTGCGCCATTAAAACCAAGATACTGGTGGAGATACGTAGACGATGTGTTTGCCATAGTTTCCAGACAAGGTGTTCGGCAACTATTGGACCACCTGAACAATATACATCCAAAGATACATTTTACAACAGAGGTGGAAAAAGACGGAACTCTCGCATTCTTGGATGTACTTGTGAAACGGGAACCCAATGGGAGACTGGTACATACCGTATTCAGGAAACCGACCCATACAGATCGGTATTTAAGAGCGGATCCGTCACAACTGTCTTCTGTGCCACGCACTCTTATTCATCGCGCACTTCGCCTATGCGACTCTCAATTCCTGGAGTCGGAATTGACACACGTGCGGCAGGTGTTAGAGTGCAATGGTTATAGCTGGCGACAGAGTTACCGTCTGGTAAACACAAGTAGCAAAAAACGGCTTCAGAATGTGGAGCGAGTCCCGGTATATTTACCATATATGCGAGGGGTAACTGATCAAATTGGACACCTGTTACGCCGTAGATGTAGCATCAGGACAATTTTCCGTCCCATGACACAAGTAAGAAATCTCTTACGATCGCCTAAGGATCGGCACCCTCTACAAGGCCCTGGCGTCTACGAAATCCCTGGCGACTGCGGCAAAAGCTACATTGGAGAAACGGGACGCAACATAATTACTAGGCTCACCGGCTCACCGAACACATCCGCAGTATACGCAAAATGGACAGCAAAACCTCGGCGGTGGCAGAGCACTCCCTTAACTCCGACACCTCACATTTTATTAGGTTCGATAAGGTGAAAGTGCTAGCCCGTGAGAAGAACTTCGTGTCACGGAAGCTCTTGGAAGCCATCGAGATCGAACGCCGGGCTAATTTTAATAGAGACAAGGGATGGGCTCTGCCGCCTACTTGAAAACCCGTGTTGTTGAATGCGACACGGAATAAGAACGATAGTGCTAGCGATTGTGTAGTGGACATAGTGAGTACAATTTGTGCGCCCCATAACACCAATAGTGACACTAGACCAATCTCGCCGTTTGCGTCATCATCGCCGGCGCAACCCGCGCCCCCCGCCCTCAACCCGCGCGCTGCGAGCTCAGGCGCGCAGTGGGAGACGGGGCGCGACCGCGAACTAGTCGCACTCACCTTGACGAAGGACCTCCGATGAGTCCGAAACTAGTCGATACATACACCGGGCTTACGTGAGTTTAGCCGTCTTAATATTGCATTAATAATGTCTCACGAAAGTTTTAATAATTTCATTGTTAATGTTATTTGTAACAGTGAAACAGTTAAGGTGTTTGAGTACCATAATTACAAATTTTAAAACATTTCTGATACCAGCCACAGACAGACTGATACAGAGTAATCTGAGCATATCCAAACAGAAAAAGAAATGGAAGAAATATATCTTCCTCCCTGGAACAAAACTTGGAGGAAGGATAGCGAAATATAAGCATGTGCAG